AAAAAAAAAAAAAAGAGATGTGTAGAGTAGAGCTGTTATTGTGTTTTTGTCAGTGAAAGTTATGTCAAGATGTTTAGAATTGCAGGCACTTTTCTATATTTAGGGTAAGAGAGTCACACTGAGGTGGGAGGTATCAGTCTGGGACAAGATTGGCAAATTTTTCTTTTTTTTTTTCTTTTTCATTGGTCATGGGGCTTGAATTCTGGGCCTAGGCGCTGTCCCTCAGCTCTTCAGCTCAAGGCTAGTGCTCTACCACTTGAGTCACAGCGCCACTTCTGGATTTTTCTGTTTATGTGGTGCTGAGGAATTGAACCCAGGGCCTCATGTATGTGAGGCAAGCACTCTTATCACTGAGCCACCTTCCCAGCCCATCAAATTTTTCTTGAATAGGCCAGAAAAATGGGGAGAACATTCCTGCTGGGTCATGGCATGCTGAATGGCATCACAGGGGTAGACAGAACAAACTAGCCAGAATGAGCCCTCTTTTATAATGAAGCTAGTTCCTTCATTACCCATTAACCCACTCAGTCACTGTGACCCAGTCACTCATGAAGCTCCCCCCTGGTTCTCTTAACAGCTCACAGTGGGGGATTAAATCTCCACCAGCAGGCAAGGGCCACTGCTCACACCTGTAATTGTAGCTACTGAGAAGGCTGAGATCTGAGGATCACTGTCAAAGCCAGCCTGGGCAGGAAAGTCCAATTAACCATCAGAAAACTGGAAGTAGCACTGTGGCTCAAGTGGTAGAGTGCTAGCCTTGAGCTGAATTGCTGAGGTACAGCACCCAGGCCCAGAGTTCAAGCCCCACAACTGACTATATATACATGTATATATATATACATATATATATACATGTATATATATATATACATACACATAAATACATATACATATCTATATATCTCCACCAGCATTTGGGTTGGAGACATTCAAGCCACAGCATGCCTCCTCCTCCTGGAGGTGGTGGATTCTTTGGCTCCAGATTGGGGCTGCTGCATGTCTTTATCTGTGACCTGTCCACAGACAATGCTGGTTCTCCACTGTCCTTGATCCCCTTAGCCAAAGGGCTGGCAGGGACTTGGTGCTTCTGCTTTATAATCATGGTAGGAACTTGATGTGGCCAAATGTAAAGGTCTCTGACTTTCTGAGACTTGCTTTTGCTCTTGTTACTTCTGAACTCCAGTAGTTGCAAAAGGTAGAAACTAAACTCAGGTTGGCTCCTAAACACAATGGTTCATGAAACCATACAATACTGCTTTTTGCTTTGTTTTATCCTGTAGAAACATGTTACATACTGCCTCTACTTAGGGACAGAGGAATCAGTCTTTACCTCTAGAAAGGAGTGGATAGCAGAGAATTGATTATGGATATATTTAAAACCCCCACACCCTCCCATTGCTTGGTTATAACTTATGACTCCAGGTTAGCCTAGCAGGCCTAAGCTCTGCTTTTTCTGGACTACAGTTCTCAACATCAGCACCTCGATTCAGCTGGCAGCCTCCATGCCTTTGGGATTCCAGCCAGCGCAGGCTCCGGACCCTACAGCCCCAGTTGCATACTTTCCGTACTTTGAGAACACTTACCTGGGAGTGGCAGCATCACTCAATGGGGGCAATGTGCTGGCCACATTTGTTCATATGCTTGTGCAATGGATTACTGACCTAGGTAAGTGTGGCCCACACAGTGATGTGTTCTGTGCTTGTCCTTTTCATGTGATAGTGTCTAATATGCTGTGTCTAGGTCCATCTGGGTCCAGCATATTCCTTCCTGCTTTAGGAGTCTGTGTGGAAGCCTTTTTGTCTCTTATGACTGAACTGCCAGACCATCCATACTCTTGTCTTTGTGGCAGGTGGCAGGCACCTTTTCTTTACCTTGGATGTAGAATATTCCAACAGCTCCTCTACTTCCTCTGACCCACAGTTTTATTTCTTTTGCCAGAAAGTTCCTAGATCCCTTTCACTTAAAGTTTTTCTTTAGTTGACTACAAATAACTCAAATACAGTGCTCAAACATGTCTGACTGAAAAGACTCTGTTATTGTGTAATATTACATTATATAATCCTGCAGCTCCAGCTTCGTTTTCTTGGAAGCCTCCTTGGAAACTCTGAGGTTTTCCATCTATCTTCTTTTATTCCCAGGGGAGGAATTTTCTCTGTTCTGCACATATAATGGCCTCTTTTTCTGGTACACTGTCTAGGTCTGGGGAAATCATGGCCATCAGATGCAGGGGCTCAAAATTAGATGACTTCAGGAAATGTACAACATCAACCTGAGAACAAAGGTAGGCACAGGCAGTAGTGTAGAAAGTTCTTCCTGGGTGGGCAGATCTTTCTCAGTGTTTTCAGGATGACTGGAGTTCAGGATGATTGGGGACATCAGGATAGCTGGGGAGATCTAGTCCAGTTCTCTCAGAGGTACTTGATTAAAAGAACCTGGATAAAGTTTCAGGTTGTAGAACTGGTGGTCAGAATCGCCAGGCAAACCCTTTATCCAGATGCTGGTATAGCGGGTTGCCTGTGTTAATCATCATAGAGCTTGTTGGACTGTTTTCTTACCTCTGAAAGAGTTGGGAATGTTTCATTTATTTCTTATGCTAGGGATAATACTCAGGGCCTTAGGCATGTCACATAAACACTCTACTGCAGAACTACATGGGTGTGTGTGTGTGTGTGTGTGTGTGTGTGTGTGTGCACGCGCCAGTACTGGGGCTTGAACTCAAGGTCTGGGAACTTTTCCTTAGAATTTTTGCTCAAGGCAGTCACTTTACCACTTGAGCCACAGTTCTACTTCTGGCTTTTTGCTGGAGATAAGAGTTTCATAGACTTTCCTGTTTGGGCTGACTTTGTACTGTGATCCTCAGATCTCAGCCTCCTGAGTAGTTAAGATTATATATAGGTGTGAATCACCAGGGTCTGGCTGAGCTACATGATTTTTTTTTTTTTTGGCTACATGATTTTTTTTTTTTTGTTTAAGAAAATTTTTGTGGTTTTATTGTATCATGAGGCAATTGAAACATCTGAACAAATCAGTATCTGGGCGG